CAGTCAACACGTAACACCGAAGGGAAAGACCTCGCATGGAATTCATGCCGGTGATTGGCACTTATTGCGTAAGTAAATGATAACGATATTGGAGCGCCCAGTTCTGCATCCCACCCCAATCGATGCAGTAAGAGCAGAAACTTGTCTGCCAACTCTGCGTACGAAGCTGTTCGGAGCAGTTCAGGTATCGCCTCATCTGAGTTTCACAACCAACTGCCTCAGAGGAAGGTACTATTATTAAAATGACCTTGAAGACGAGAAAACTGAGGGCTCAGAGGCCCGAAGGCACAGCGAACCAGGCACTCTGGCTCCACGTTCTTACTCGTTTGAGCGATGCGAGAAGTTTATCCTGATGGGTCTCGATCGCACTCCTAATCCCTCACCCCAGCCCCTTCCAGCCTCGCCTACGCCACCCCCAGGCCTCACTCAGCACTCAGTCTCCACTCCGCACAGCTCGCAACCCTACCCGGAACATCTCCCCCTACATCACCTACGCACAGCTGCCAGCCAGGCTGCTCCGACAGCGCACACCGCCCTGCCCTTCCCTTCCCCGACCTATCTCCCGCGATCTGGGCTCTGCTCCGCTCACTTCACCTCGGGCATCACCGGCACCCTCGGGCCTTGTCACTCAGCGCCCCTACTTCTCTGACCCCAGGCGCCCCGGGGCCAATCTCTCCTCTCCACCCCACAGGGCTGCGTCACCTCAGTACCGGATCCTTCTCTCCTCTCTCGCGCAAGGCTTCAGGGATTCTTTCAAGCTCCTGAACAAACCGGCAGCAGCTAAGTCCAGACACATTCGCGCCAAATGTGCACAGTTGTAGCTTTCCGGCCTCCCGCCAAAGTCCAGACAGGCTTCTAATTGGCTGTCGCCTGAATGCCGCGCTCCTAGGCCAACGCCCACCCTCCAATGCACAACCAATAAGAGAGTCCCAGGTCTCGGAACCCTCTGAAGGCCACGCCTACTGAGCGGAGGGTGCCCATCTACATCCGGGACCTCCGCCGGAAAGACGTGAAGGGAGCGAAGCTGGGTAAGGCGAACTGGCCACTCCGCAAAGCTCGATGGGAGATGTAGTCTTTGCCGCAGGCGACTCTCTTTCTATGCCTTTCTCTCGATGGGAGGTACAAAGATGTGGTTGCTCCTTCTCAGTGCTGCATTTAACTCATTTTCGTTATCCTAATGGGCTACATTTTTAGTGAGCTACTATATAATACCTATCATTTTGGGGACGGTTCTGGGAGTCAGATATGATGCTAGGAGCTTTACTCAACCCTGCAAGGCACAAATCAAATGTGCATAGGGTCAATTAGGGGTCACAGCATCTTGTTGAAGGATCTAGGATCCAGATTTCCTGACACCCAAACCAATTTTTTTTTTTTTGGTAAAGTTCTACGCATGCATAACGAAATACACTACCCCTCATTATAATATTCCCCTGATTTGTATTTCAAAGGTGAGAAATAAAGCCAGGCCTTTGCTTTTATTTTGTTAAAGGTAAGAATATATTGTGTACCTTCTTATCATTAATCCCATTAATCAACACTTTGTAGGGAGTGGAGAGAATTATGACCCCTTCATTTAAAAAAAATTTTTTTTATGGCTAAACACTAGGGTTTCAGGGCCAGAGAAGATGGCTATAGAAGAAGAGGCAAGCTGAGCTTTTAATGAAAAATATAAATTAGAGCAGTAATTTATAGGCCAGCTTCCAAAGCTAGTAACATAGCTATGCCTCAGATTCTGTTAAAGGCCAAAACCCAATTCTAGGTGATGGTAAGCATTTATCTTTCATCCTTCAATATCAAATAAAATAGAGCAATAAAGCTGAGAAACAGGAAAGCAATATTACAATCGTCAGTTAATTGTAGTTAGTTCATATAGTAGATAAGAGCCAATACTGAGTGCTTAAGTGTATGCCAGGGACTGAGTTCAAGCATTTTACCTATGTCACCTTATTAATTCTCACAAGCACCCCATGAAGTTGGCATTATTTCCATTTTACAAATGAGGAAATGGAATAGAAGGGGTTGAGTAAATTTCACCAAGGGCACACATTAGTAAGTGGAAGAGCTGGAATTTGAACTGGGAAAGTCTGACAGGAAATCAAACTCTCAACCATTAAACATGGGGGAGGATTAGACAGATGCAGGTTCCACAGTGGCCTTCTAAATAGGGAGAGATGGTTAGGAAGCATGTTTCGGGAAGGCTTTCCAGGAGCTGAAAACTGTAAGAGTGAAGAGATTAGGTAGCCATGACTGTAAAAGTGTTATCCTAAAATGGAGGCTTTAAAAAAAATATATATATATATGTAATTTTTTATTGATTTCAGAGAGGAAGCAACAGGGAGAGAAACATCAATGATGAGAATCACTGATCAGCTGCCTCCTGCACGCCCTCTACTGGGGGCCGAGCCTGCACCCCGGGCATGTGCCCTGACCGGGAATCTAACTGTGACCTCCTGGTTCATAGGTCGAAGTTCAACCACTGAGCCACTCTGGCCGGGCCCATGAAGCCTTTTAATAGCCTGCAGAGGTTTCTCTTGGTAGCTGTCCTGAAGTCTTCTACTAGATTCTGAGCTCCCTGGAGGTCCAGGTCAGGGCACATGCCTGAGTTGCTGGCTCAATCCCCAGTGTGGGGCATGCAGGAGGCAGCCAATCAAAGAATTCTCTCATCATTGATGTTTTTCTCTCTCTCCCTTTCTCTTTCTCTCTGAAGTTAATAAAAATATATTTAAAATGAAATAAAATAAAATGGAGGCTTTTGACCAGATGGTATTTTTGATATCTTAATAGGGCAATAGAACCTAAAAAGCAACCTTCACTGCTCATATTTATTTTTACAACCGGGCACCTGAAAATTGTCCTTAGTAGCCTGAAATGGTAACATGTGCCCAACCAGTCTTAAGAAATTGTGAACAGCCTCCCTCCATTACATGGGAGGGAGGGAGCAGAGGAAGCTATAAGTACCTAACATGCATATTGGAGCCTTGAAAACACCAGGAAGGATAGCAGTGGTCTATAAAAAAGCTTGCAGGAGTGAATGACCACTGTAGAAGCAGGCCGAGAATCACAGGATGTCAGATTGGAAGGTCTCTAAAAGCTTACCGACCTGAGGCATTCCAATATTCCAGTAGCATGCTGCACACACCACCATGCGGTTTCTTGCTTCTGTGCCTCTGTCCTTGATATTTCCTGTCTGGAATACTGCTCACCATCTTCCTTCCCTGGCTAATTACCATGAAGCCTTTTTAAAAAAAATATGTATTTTTATTGATTTCAGAGAGAAGGGGTGAGGGACAAAGAGATAGAAACATCAATGATGAGAGAGAATCATTGATTGGCTGCCTCCTGCACGCCCCACACTGGGGATCGAGCCCAAATCCAGGCATGTGCCCTGACCGGGAATCTGTGACCTCCTGGTTCATAGGTCGAAGTTCAACCACTGAGCCACTCTGGCTGGGCCCATGAAGCCTTTTAATAGCCTGCAGAGGTTTCTCTTGGTAGCTGTCCTGAAGTCTTCTACTAGATTCTGAGCTCCCTGGAGGCAAAGGCCCTGTCCTATTCATCTGCATATTACAGATGCCTGGCACAGAGTAAAGTACGCAATAAGTGCTTGCTGAATGGAAAGGACATGCCTCATGAAGATTTTTTGTGGATAGATACTATATAGTCCTTTAAATCTCACACACCTAAACCTACAAGTGGAGAATAAATTCAATTATATGTAAAAAACAATGCAGACGGGGCTCCAGTGATGTCAGAGGTGAAGTATTTCCCCTCCAGTTATCCTCGAGGGCAGTTAGGGTCCTGAGGTTGACAGTTTAGTTCTCTCACCTCTGCAGAGTAATAGGAAGTCAGAGACAAGCAGCTTTCTTTACAGTGAGTCACAGTTTGTGGCTGGGTTGGGGCAGGAAATACTTAAGAGGCACATTCACAGTGAGCAGCGGTGTCCCAGTATCATTAGACTGGGCAAACTACTGCCCTTATCAACTGCTAATTCATACACAGTATCATGAGGGAAGGAATCAGATCACACTGGAAGGACCTGTCCGGCATCCTGTTGTACAAGTACATGTACACATACACACACATACACACACATTAGCAGGACCATCCCAATAGGACGGAGAAAGCTTATAGCATTAGGAAGTTGAGGGTCATTTAGGCAAGCTCCATTTCAGAGCTATTGAAAGTTACAAGAGTAACAAATCAAAATAGGTAGTTTATTCATCATATTAATAACAATGATGGGTCAAATAATCAGGAATTAGACCAATTTGGCAAGTATGGGTGAAAATGAAAGGAGCCTCATAGATTTTGATATCTAAAGTATGTGAGACTGATTCATGTACACACCCATTCTGAAATCAGTATGGAAAACAATTTCAAGACCTTTGCCCGTGATGAAAGTGCAAGTTAAGCTCAATAAGTCCTAGTGGTGATTATGTCAGCTGACCATAGTAAGCAGAGAATGTCTGGTTTAATTTTTACACCTAAAGTCAAAGTTCAAGAAAGCCTGCTTAGATACCAACTCAAAAAGTAGTGAAGAAAAACAGCCAACACCCACATAAAAAACAGACACACACACAATCTACATGCTCTGCCTCCACCTTTCTTCCACGCCTCAGTGTGCGAATCCGGCGTGCAACGCAGGCAGAAGGCATCACAAGGGACACAAAGAAAAGACACAAGGCCAGGAGGTGTCTGGGTTTTCCGAAACCATAAGCAAAAGGGTTTCAGGTGGCAAATATAAATAATGGCCAACTCTATCAGAATCACCCAGTCAGTATGGCTACCCAGCACTGTGGTTTTCAAAACGTAACAGGAGGGAAGGACAGAAAACTCTTAAGAAGCTGCAGATGCTTCTGCCCAGGTCAGTGGACCTACCTCCCGAGAGGACCTGGGGTCAAATGACCACACAACCTGGAAAATGAGGTCACAGGCTTTCTCCCCTCTCTATGCCACCACAGGAGGCGAGATTCCAGACAAGAGTACACAGTTTTCAGTTTTTGGTTTTGTTTGTAAGCAACATTTAATTAAACCGCACGGCATCCAGGAGAAACAAATGTACCGAAGAATCCAACCTGAGACCAGATTATACATTTTTTAGGGGGTTGGAAAAAAAATCAATGCTAATTGGGAGAGGGAGCACTATAATCAGAATACAACTCCAAAATAAATCACACAATAAATTATTTTTTAAAAGAAAACTGACACACATATACACATTCACGCTCTTCACACATGCATTCTAGTCTTTTATTCAGTGTTGACTGACTTCCATGCTGGTAGTGTTGGGAAATGACGAAAGATAGATATGAGAAAAGTAGGCTTGGCCCCTCTGCCATCAGTAAAATGAGATTTAAGACAATTAGGGAACGCACTGATGTCAGAAACAAGAGTAGAAAGAAGGAAACGGCAGTTATCAAGGAAGATTTTAATTGCTTCAAAGAGGGAGAGAGGAAGAAAGCACAGAAATCTAACACAAGTAAAGGCACAATGAACGTGGAGTTGAATGGAACCAAACCCTTCCTTCAGTTAAACAGTTATTCTTTTTTTTTTTTTGTATGTTTTGAAGGTGGTTGTAGTTTTGTTTCATTTTGATGAGTCTTGAAGGCAGAGTTGTAATGCCTTCCACTCCCTAAGTTTAGGGCGGCCCAGAAAGCTACCCTAACTACATAGCCAGGGACTGAGATTTAATAGGGAAAGAAACTACAACTGGAATGTGAAGAATTTGATCTGTGGTTGATTGTAGGTTGGGTTTCCAGAAGGACAGACAGCTCAGTGTAGTGCCATCAAAGGGCCTCAGATGCCCTACACTCCACCCCCAGAGCTCCGCAGCAGACCCTGGAGCCACCCTTCTCCCCCACTCCCATAAGCACTCAGCCTACAGATTATTTCAAGTGATCAGGAGAATTAAAACACACCCCAACCTGAGTTGCTCTGTAGCAAGTCTATTTACAATTTTCCTCACCTCTCCCTGGAGGTAAATCTGGGTTTCAAGTTGGGAAACTATGGGGTGAGGGGGTGCCCCCAGTGCAATGGCCAGTGGCTAGTCTCTCTGCCTTTGCCAGCTGGAAGGACTGGGATGAATTTCTGGAGACAGCAGCTTCACATCCACTGGGTGGGGTAGCCCTCGACCCTCTCTCTGTGCAACCAGGCTGGGAAAATGATAGGGCTCTGTTGCTGGAGGAAATCCCCATGACACAGAAAACCACACCTGGAATATCCAAGTGCTTTGATCCAGGTTTGGTGACCAGAGAAGAGGAGGGAAGGAGGGCATCTAAGCTCATTTAAAAACCTGGAGGCCACTGCCCTACTTCCCAGAAAGGGCGGTAAGAAACAACTATAGTATTAAGTTTTCCCCCCTAGAGAAAAACATCATGAAATCAAACCCACACAAGGGCTTTTAACACAGCTTCCTGCTTAGTTGGGCAATGCCTCCTCCTTCTGGGAGGGGAGAAGGGGTTAATGGGACTGGGCAATAGCCTCAACATGAGACCACCCATCTCCCATGGAAGAGACAACATTGCCATAAACAGATAAAAAGCCATTTAAAAGGTGAGAAGTTGTAGTGCTCTTGCAGCCAGCCCACCTTCAATCTATATTACAAGCTTTTTACAACATACAAAATAGATCAATAACTATGAGGATCACATTCCCATTCTTCAATAGTAAATATACATGATAATAAATCTGTTATTAACAGAGGGACGAAATATGTATAAGGCAAAAGACATTTAAATAAGTACCGTGTCACCAACATGCGCTGAAGAAAATGCATCTAACTAGATTTAGACTGAGGCCTTTTCCCATGAGGCCAAGAAAATGAAAATAATCAATACCCATGTGACACAGTCCAAATGCTGGGGAATATGAGCAGCAGGTCACAGGGGAGGAAGGTATCAGCCCCAATGAAAAGCTGTGGTTTGGCTTTCACTTGTGATACTTATTTTGATGTTCTATGTTTGAGGAAAGGGGAAAAAATACATTTCTATAACATTATACAAAAGGCATCAACTCCCATTTCAAAAATAAATGGGAAGACTTCACAGTCCAAGTTGAGTAACTGATCAGCATCTACCCTGGAACGCTGCTGCAGTAGCCACTCTTGTTCTCCCTCCATTAGTGTCCCCTCTCTCAGCTCTATTCACTTCAGGATGCCAGGGACATAGCTGGGAGATAACTACTAACAGGTCTGAAAATAAGAATGATAATGGTTAGAGAAGTGTGATGACAGACCTAATCACTGCTTGTCCCAAGAGGCAATATGGTCCAGGAGATGATAAAGGATAGCAGACCCCATACAAATAACCCAAGATGAGCCCTCTCTCTTCTAGCACTGGGAAGACTTGGGTTTCATCCGGCACCACGCACAGATCCTCAGTCTATGATCCAATAGGCTGGAAAGGTCCCTAAAATAGTTCAAGCCTGTGATGTAATTTTTTAACAGACTTTCCCCAACCATCCCAAAAAGTCACCTGGGCCTCCTTGCTCTTACTTCAAGCTTTGAGTAGCCTCTGCACTTGGCAGTAGCAAACCAAACACCTGTGTGTGGAGCCCAGGAGCCCTATTCTGCTGTTCTTGAACTAGGACCTGGAAGACGAAGACACAACATATTGGTGGCTGCCAAAGAAGATAACTGGGCTGAGAGTCATCTCACCAAAGTCTTTGTGTTTCTTGGCACAGAGGAATCTTTGACTCATGAGCTTCCTCCCCGTTCTCTACTCTGCTGTTCACCCCTCCGTCTTGGAAAGGCAAGGGTGGAGAGAGAAGAATAGGAAGGTCCTTTCAGTGAGTGGGCTGTGAACTCTACAAGCTTCACCTTCCCTTCTTTGTCAGTGTGGCGTACCGAGCAAGGGCTGTAGTTCCTGGACAGGACTGAGTGGACCCCTGCCCTTCAGGACCAGCCAGAAAAGACTGAGGTGGACTCAAGGTCTTAGATAAGACCAAGACCCCAGCCCTATCTTCCTCTCTCTCATAGAAGTTTCTGGAGTTTGTGAACATGGAATGAACAAAAGTGACTTTTCTCTTGAGGGCCTGGGTGGTGGTGGGAAGAAACAGTGTCCCTCAGCCCAGCACCCTGAGGAATGGGGTGGGGAGCCCCAGGACTCAAATGGCTCCTGGTCCCTTTGCTGCAGGGAAACTGACTAACGCTAAAAGGCTCGCCAGTTTATTTACCCTCCCTTTTTATTAGCTGTTTAGTTCAACTGATTAGTATTTAGTGTTTATATCCAACTTATCCTGGAGTGAGGGTATGGGGTAGGGTAAGAGCAAAACCAAAATGCCCCTGAAAATAAAGCAGACCCACTCCCTTGTCCTTTCTCCAAACTTGACCTTTAAAACAGATCACTTCTCTGCAAACTCCTTTCTTGTTTCACTAAAAATGTCCCCAACCCCCAAGTCCTGGCCAGCCATGTCAGCTTCCTAAATGATGAAATATACCCGCCACGCTTCCCCCAAAGTGGGTAGGAGGAGGTAGGAGTACCATTCTCCGCCCTGCCCCAACAATGAGTTAATTCATCACAACAAGGCACCTTTCCCCACGAGGAAAGCAGGCGACTTGGAAGCTGTTTCCTCATCTGGCTAGCAGGGATTGCTAGAGGAGGGATGGACGCAGGGTTTGAGACCCTACTGTCAATATAGAGTCCAATCACCAAGTCCAGAAGATGAGATGCATAGATGGAGGCGAGCTGGGAGGATGCTTGGAGTCTAGAGGTTGGTTGCACTGGAGAAACACGTCAGGAGTTCTCATGCAGGTTTCAGGGGAATGGGAGGGACCATCTGAGAGGAGGAGAGGGTCCATCCTTTTCCTGAGGAACAGGACCAAGCCAGGCTTCACCTGAGAATGGGTGGCAGAGGTGGGGCTCCACGGGCAGCTGAAAAACATTAACAATAAAAACCACATACACAAGACTACCCACCAGATCCTGAATAACCAAACATTCCTAAAATGAGAGACAAGATCTATAAGCTAACCTTTAACACTGAGGGATTAGGTTTTGTTTTTGTTTTTAAAGAAAATGAAGATGAGGAGAAACAAATTTTAAGAAAATTTCTAAGAAAAGCACACTGATTCTATTTTTTATGCAATTATGAAAAAACTTTCATGACTACTCATCTCACCTCGGTTTGTTTTGCTGGGATATACTCTCTGAAAGTGTTTATATTCTTCTGGAGCAGGAAAGTCTTCTACTGGATGGAAAGAATACTTTGACTCAAAATCATCTACAAAAGAAACAGAATATTAATTCATATCACCCTTCTGACTCTTCTTCGTGCCACTTCTGACCCTCCCCTTACTGGTCTCCATTCATTCTGATGTACGTGAGGGCCTGCCTTGCCCACTAAACCCAGGTTCCTAAGGACAGCAATAGCATTGCTCTATGTGCCTTGTATGCCCAGAAGATGTGCTCAAAGGTTCTCTACATTAAGGAATTAATCTTTGACCTGGTTGTTTTTGTTTGTTTGTTTTGTTAATCCTCACTCGAGGATATTTTTCCAATGATTTTTAGAGAGAGGGAAAGACAGAAACATCAATGTGAGAGAAACACATCGACTGGTTGCCTCCTGCCGGGCCCAGCCGGGAAGGAGCCTGTAACCGAGGTAAGTGCCCTTGACTGGAATCAGTCCCCAGGCCGATGCTCTATCCACTGAGCCAAACCGGCTAGGGCTTGACCTGGTTTTAAAAAATATTTCCACCAAAAACCAGGCATCTAACAGGAAAGGAGCACAGCTGTTTGAATGGGAGGAGAAAAAAGTATAATTCTTTAACACAGCCATCTTAGAGACTATCACCATGGGATACCAACTGAACTGAATCTACAAATTGGTAGAAATTAACCTAAAATGGGAATATTTGTCACAACGAGTGAGAGTTCTGACCAGTTAATTCCCTTTTGGCCCAGGTTACCCTCATGTAGTTCTGCAACACAGTTGGGATAGCCATCTCATGGCCCCGTGCCCACTTCCCATGGCCCCTCTATAAGAAGGCTCAAATGCTCTGTGGGTGTGGCTTGGTGACCTTCCAAAGGACTTGATCTTCAAAGCAAAAACCCTGGTCCACCTAATCAGAATACACTAGAGCAAGTGTTAGGTCTGAAAGGGATTGTACAGATCTTCCCAGGAGTCTAATGATACCTTTGGGTAACCCATGAACACAGACAAGGCTTGGGGCAAGGGGCAGACTAGAAGGGGTCAATGCGGGTTAAGGGGGACATATTGAATACTTTCAACAATAAAGATTTTAAGAATAAATAACTAATTAAAGAAGTTAACGAGATGAAATACGAGTTAGAGAGGTAGGTTAAAAAAATGTATCTTAGGGGGGGCCTAAGATTCATTGATAACCTTGGAAAAGTTAATCTGACACACTTCCGATTTACTCAACCTCCTCATTTCACAGATAAGGGAAGTGAGGCCCAGAGATGTGAAGCAACTTCCTTAAAGTAACACAGCTAGTTAGTGGCTTTGGATTACTAGGTAAATATTGTCTGCCTAGTGGGATGTTTTTTGTGTGGCAGTTTTACAATTTTCTTCAACAATCAGCAGTTAGTTCTCATGCACATTAACTGTAGATTTTTAAAAGTGGTGACAGGTATGTAGGTAACCAACACACAGAGACTGCTTGGTGAATTTTCATCCTCACTATGGTATGGGACATTCCTTATTCCTTTGGCCCAGACAGCTTTGTTGAGCCTGGTGTCACTGTGTACATCCGGAGTTCCCATCTCCTTCATGGCCAATTTTTGCATTTCTTTGAGTGCTTCTTGAAACTCACTTCATGGATGTGCTTGTGACTGTTGATGGTGTATTCTCTGGTCACTGACTCTGATGGCAGAAGGGCCCCGCTCCTTGCCACCCTTCTTTGTGAGAGCCACTATGCCGGGCCCAAGTTGGAAAGAAAGTTTATTTTGTTTTTAAAGGGCCAGAAAGGAGCTCTCCTTCCTAGAGGAATGCTCACTTCCTGTCTGAGTAATCCTGAAGAAGATGAAGTCTCTGACTTAAAGGTAACCACAGCTAATGATCCTTAAGGAGCAAGAGAATGGCTTTAGAGTTAGCATGACACCTGCTGATTTTACTTCAATCTATCCCAAAGCAACCCATGCTTAGAATTTGCATAAGGAAAGGAACATCAATGGACAGGCACTAGAAGTCAGATGTAAAGTCAGGAGAGGAACTGCTGCGATCAACAGCTGTAAGTGACCATTCCCATTCTACAGGAGTTAGTAAGTCAGCACAGGAACTATGAGACTAAAACAGCGAGCTACTCACCCAAGAAAGATCGAACAGTGGTAATAGAATCTCTGTGGCCATTCCTCAAGGGTGGAGGAGGAGGAGGTGGTGGCCCAGCTGGCGTCCTTGAGGGCGGGGGTGGGGGCTTTCCTCGGCTCAGAGGTTCTGACCCGTGTCGGTATGGTGGTGGGGGAGGGGGAGCATCCCTGGCACCATTTCGGATCATGGGTGGCGGGGGTGGAGGAGCTGCAATTAAAATCCAAAGCAGTTAGGTTTGGCTATAGAGGCTCTGTGAGCCTCTGAGCACCATGTTACATATCATATTCACCCTCCTCCCATCCCTGCTCTACCAAAGTGCAGAATAAATGTGTGACTTTTTCATTTCCCACAAGTCAGTCAAGAATCTATGTATTCTTGATGATTTTTTTCCTGCTTTTCCATGTCTTCCTCCACAATTCTAATTCAGGACTTTCTCATACTTAGTCTGTTCTACTGCAAAAAGCCTCCCAAATGTTCTTTTTGCTTCTAATCTCTTATACCAATCCACTGTGTGCACCATCAACTCACTAATCTCCCCACACTTTGCTCAGACTTTTTCAAGAGCTTTGCAGTTCCTACATCATAAAGTTTCAAACTCTTAGCTTCCAACCCAATTGGGTTTCCCCCAATTATCCTCCTTTCTTATACAGTAACCCATTACCTCAGTCTGATCTCACCTTCCTTCCTTTTTTTTTTTTTTTTTTTGGTTAATCCTCACCCGAGGATATTTTTTTCATTGCTTTTCAGAGAGTGGGAGTGAGGGAGAGAGAGAGAGAGAAACACTGATGTGAGAGAGACACATCCACTGGTTGCCTCCCTCCTGCAGGCACTTGGACACAGGTATGTGCCCTTGACCTGGAATAAAACCCACGACCCTGTGGTGTGCAAGCCAATGCTCTAACCATGGAGCCATGCCAGCCAGTTCTCTTCCTTTCTTGATTTCTAGGCTGGGGTAGGTACCTCTAGTCTGCACTCCCATTCTACTATATTGTACTGTAATTAGTCATTAGGTGTGCCCCTTCCCAGTATACTGTATATTCATTGAAGTCAGAGAGCATTGTCCATTCATTTAAGTACCCAACCACACCAAATGTACAGCACATGGTAGGCATTCAATCAACCTTTGCTGAATAAACCAAATTACATATGTTTTGCTCTTGTGACTCCTTCATAATACTCGGAAATACCATCCCTCTTCCCTCACCACCAAATCCTAGCTATCCTTTAAGCTTCAACTCAAGTTTCATCTTCTCAAGGCTTTCCCAAAGCAGTCCACTCTATTCCAAACTCCTCCTTCTTTGGTCTCCCAAAGCATTTATAGGTATGTCACTTTTTTAAAAAATGTATTTTTATTGATTTCAGAGGGGAAGGGAGAGGGAGAGAAAGAAAGAAACATCAATGATGAAAGAGAATCATTGATCAGCTGCCTCCTGCACGCCCCACACTGGGGATCAAGCCCACAACCCCGGCATGTGCCCTGACCTGGAAACAAACCATGACCTCCTGGTTCATAGGTCGATGACCCCCAACTCCCTTAAGGGATTTCCATATTTTTATCTCCAAGTCCTCTCTTATTCCTGCATTTGTGAACTCATTCCAATTAGACTTTTACTTTCACCTTCCCTCCACCACTCCACTAATACCCAAAATGATCCCATGTTGTTTGGAGTCCCCTAAAAAGATTCCCGTATTGCTGAGACCAATGTCATCTCGGGCTTCAACTTAACTGACCCAGCTATAGCATTGGACACAACCCTAGAAGAGGTAGATGAGATTGTGTATTCTCTTTACAAAATAGCATGACTGAAAGCAGAGTGAGGGAGACCAGGACAGCTGTCTGGGGCTTTCTCATATCCAGGAATTTTGGCTCACTCAATCTTGGAATTTCTCCATCCCTCTTTCTTCCTTTCCCTTCTTCCTTCCTCACCAGTGGCTCTTTCTCAGCTTGCCCTGCTTGGCAGTCTTCATCTCTCTGACCTCTAATCTAGGAGGGCCCCCAGGTTTAGACCTCTTCTCTATACTCTCTACCTGGGTGATCTGACTCAGCATGTCGTTTTCAATATTGTTCAAATTTCTCTCTCTAGCCCAGACCTCCACCCTGAACTTCTGAGTTGATAGCCAATCACCAATTAATTATTTCCTCTTGAACGTCTAATAGGCATCTCAAACTTGAGTTGTCCAAAACTGAATATCTTCCCCCAAACCTGCTGTGGTCCTACCCACCTGCCGTTTCTTGCAATAGCCTCATAAGTGGCGTCTTTTTGCCACCTCTGTCTTCCCGCAGTCTGTTCTCAACATAAAAGCTGACATTTTTATTTTATTTTTTAAAATATGTTTTTATTGACTTCAGAGAAAGGAAGAGAGAGGGAGAGAGGGATAGAAACTTCAATGATGAGAGAGAATAATTTATTGGCTGCCTTCTGCCCACTGGGGATCGAGCCACAACCCAGGCATGTGCCCTGACCGGGAAACAAACCATGACTGCTCCTGGTTCATAGGTTGATGCTCAACCACTGAACGACACCAGCTTAACTAAGGTGACCTTTTTAAAGGTAAATATATGCTACTTCTCTGTTCCAACCCCTCCAGTGGCTTCCAATATTAAACAAAGTAAAACCCTAAGTCTTTACAAAGTCTTACAATGTTCTCCCGTGGAAATCTAGCTTTCTGATCCCATGTTCTGCCACACTTCCCCTCACTCATTCTAGTCCTGTCTCAATGTCTTTGCATTTGCTGTTCTCAGTGCCTGCTTAGCTTATTCCCATACCGTCTTCAGTCTTTACCAAACTGACCCTAACCTCATCCCCACCCCTGCAATTGGAAATATCATCACCCCATCCCACCCCAGTATATTCTATCCCCCTTCTCTGCTTTGTATTTCTCTAAAGCACCTACATACTATGTATTTACATACTATGTATTTACATACTAGTATATATTTTTTTAAAATATATTTTTTACTAATTTGACTATATGCTAAAACAGGATTTTTTTACATTTTCTATTTATTGCTGTTTCCCTAACAAAAAAGTCTGACTCACAAAAAGGCATTCAATAAGCCTGTTGAATGAGTAAGTGAATTCTTATCTTTAGTCACTAAAGGAGAGCTCTGGGGGAAAGAGTGAAGAGAAAAGAGAAGCTCAACTCTCAGTGTGTTAGGGAAAAAAAGTGTGTGCAGGCACTTACCTGCTCCCCGACTGGGAGGGTCTCGGGCTGGGGGAGGTGGCCTATTACTCTGTAAAGAAGGAGAGACTGAAGTAGGTGGAGGAGGTGCTAGGCCTCTGACAGGCCCTGGTGTCTTCCTATGCAAAGAATTGTGTCTCTGTGGCAGCTCAGGGGCTGACTCATTAGTGGGACTAGAGGGTCCATTGGGGACCCCTGGAGGCTGGCGGTAAGGCGGAGGAGGAGGAGCCAGAGACTGGCCACTTGGTCCCGTTCTGATATTCACAGGGGAAGGAGGTGGTTTGACTGGGGGTGGAGCAGGAGGTCCATCTCGACCAGGGTGAAGCCTTTGTCCGGGTGTGGGTGGCAAGGGTTTCTCTCTGTTGTAGGCTGGGGCTTTGTTGCTGTGCATAGGCAGAGGTGCAGGGGGTGCGTTGGCACGCCGCCCTGGTGGTGGCGGAGGAGGGGCAGAGGAGCTGTGCTTCATGCCCGGACTGCTGGTGGTGATAGGCCGAGAGAGGTCCGGTAATGAAGGTCTCTGCATCCGGGGCAGTTCTGGGAGTGAGGCTCGGCCGCTGTCGGTATCATCTTGAGGGCGCCCACTGGCTGTAGACCCTGGAGGCCTTGGGGCAGCAGCTCGAGAACTGGGAACTTGCAGGGCTGGCTTACCAGCTAGGTTCTCTACAAACAGACCAGACAGCACACTGGGTCAACAGAGCTAGAGATACATTGGTTAGTATCTCTAAATCACCCAGCTTCACTTCCTTGCACAGCAGCAGGGAAAGTATTTGTATAGTACTGGGTTTTAATCTGGCCCACTAACAAATATTGCTGATATAAGTTGAATACATTTTTATGTAATGCCTTTGCTTTAATCTACTCTATAACTTCACCCCTGCTCCCTCTCTTTCCTCCCACCTCTACCACATTCCTCAACCCCAGATGAACCACTTGGGACCAGTAGGAAATGAATGCACTTGGGAAATATTGTAAGAAAGTACTTATCAGATACCTGAAACGTCCTTAGCTCCCACATGGCGGAGCTTCGGCACTCCTCCTTGGAAGAGACCTCCCTTGGGCTGCAGGGCACCTGCTCCAGAGCCATAACCACCACCGCTTCCTTTGGGTTCTGGAAAGCATACCATCAGAGCTTTCATTTCATATGCTCCAAGCTGGTGACCAACTTAATCCTGAGGAAAAACTCCTCCTCTATTTGGGTTCTAATTTGCAAACAAGCCAATCTTGCTTTTGCCTTTGCATTAAAAAAATAAAAGTGAAGCCTCTCTGCTCCACAGCTTCATGTAGGGATGAAAGTATTTGCTGTGATGAAAGAAAAACAACAAAAGGAACAAGGAGCCAATCTTCCCTTATTTGGTTGGGCCAGAGGGATAACCTGGAGAAAGACACGTTCAACAGAGTTCCTTGGGCTCTGCTCTCATAGTCGAGGATTATAAGGGGCGAACGGCCAGGGACACAGGTGTGAACACACTCTCCCGTGGCCTTTCGGAACGGACACTTGCAGCAATTATGAAATCATCACTGGCTTCCGCTGAGCGGTTTTTGGGACTGTAGTGGTCTCCTCAGAGAACAGCAAGGATGTGCCATAACAAGCATAACAAGCACTAGTGACCGTAGGAGATGGAAGTCTTGCTGAGAAAGCTTCCCAAAGGTCGAAAAGATGTTCCTAAGTTACGGGAAGATCATCAAAAGACATCCCAGGAAAAAACTTGCCCACTCAAGACCCAGCAATAAAAATGACAGCCCAGCCAAGTTTTCAAATCAATCCTAGGCTTAGACTCACTCTCTATGACGGGAGCACTCCGATCATTAATGTTGGTCACCTTCTTCAGCTTGGTCCCTTTGCAGATGTCCTGTAAGAGGGCACCTCGACCCCGCTGTTCATCTCTACTCAGCTTGATCTGCTCTGTGTTTCCCTAGAGGAAGAGGAATATATAAGAAGTTCAGCATAAACAGTCCCCTTCATCACAAGCTTGGGATAAATGCCTTAAGCCAAACTGAGGGTTCCATGAGATACCTATCTAACTTAATCAGATATATATGCCACACATCACACCATGGTAATGTACATTACCATTCTTCTTAGTCCTTTTGCTCCTATTGTACCTCCTATTCAGATGTCTCTGACTGGAGGCCTGCACTAATACTTATTGAATACCTAATGCACTAGGGTTGTGTGTTAGATGCTTTAGATATATCAGCATCATCAAGGCAAACATCTACTGAACCCCTGCTAGGCCTTAGGTATTGTGCTAAGCACAATACCTTCATTATCTCATTTAAATGTTGAAACATGCTATGACCAACTACAACAGGAACACAGGGATAGACAGCAAGATAAATGGCCCAGATCTATATAAGAAATAATAAAAATATATTTCATCAGAAAGAATAGATTATTAAATACAAGATGTTAATAACAATGGTAATTTTTGAAAAAAAAATAATAAAGTTAAATACATTTCTACCTCACAGCTTATTCTCAAACAATTCTAGCTGAATTATAATATTTAAGTGTAAAAACTATAGAAATACTATATTTAAAAAATTGCTAAGGGAAGAACATTCTAAATATGACAACTAAAATACAGGAAAAGAAAAATAAAAGACAGGAAAAGATCAATAGATTTGCTTAGTACAAATTATTTATTAGGAATATAAGTAAATAAACAGGTGATATACTGGGAGGAAAAATCATCTGTGACAAATGTAACATATGATAGACACAAAAGATAGTGTCCTAAATCTATAGAGCATTAAAATACAAAGATAACTTAGGAATCAACAGGATAATAAGCAAAGAATATGAACAATACTATGTAAAAGAAATCAAAGAACCCAGCTGGTGTGGCTCCATGGTTGAGTGTCAACCTATGAACCAGGAGATCACAGCTCGATTCCAAGTCAGGGCACATGCCTGGGTTACCGGCTCAATCCCCAGTGAGGGGCTTGCAAGAAACAGCCGGTCAATGATTCTCTCTCATCACTGATGTTTCTATGTCTCTCTCCCTCTCCCTTCCTCTCTAAAATCAATAAAAATATATTTAAAAAATAAAAATAAAAAAGCCAGCAAATATGAAAAAAAATCAACTACAATAAAAGAAATACAGGGTAAAACTCATTATCATTATCTACCTATGACATTAGTGAAGGTTAAAATTGTAACTAAAAAGTATGCTAGCTTTGCCTTAGCCTGTTTGGCTTGGTGGATAGAACGTCAGCCTGAGGACTGAAGGGTCCTGGGTTCAATTCTAGTCAAGGGCACGTACCTCGGTTGCAGGTTCCCTGGCCCTGGTCGAGGTGCATGCAGGAGGCAACCAATCAATGTGTCCCTCTCACATTGATGTTTCTCTCTGTCTCTCCCTCTCCTTTCCACTCTCTAAAAAAAATCAATGGAAAAATATCCTCGGGTGAGGATTAACAAACAAAAAAATGCTAGTTTTATGAAGGCAGGAACCAGTGAGCAATGATGTACAGTGCCTGGCACCTGGCAAATGTTCAAAAAATGTGTAAAATAACTAACTGCCCAATGGTGGTCATAAGGATTCAGGGAAATAGGCACTCTTTTGTACTACCTGCAGTTAGATAAGTTGGTATGATCTTTCTAGAAAGCGATTTATGTGTTAAACACCTTTTAAAACTCTAGCACAGGAATTCTACTTCTAGGAACTGACTTTAAGAAAACAATTGAATAAGTGCACAAACATGTTAATACTATAGCAAAAACACAGTTTATAATAGCACAAAACTGAAAATAATCTAGAAGTTAAACCAAAAGAACAATGATAACCAACAATGGGATGCCAGATAAGCTCTTAAAGAAGTATAAGTAAATATCTTTTCATGATAGTAAATGTTTACCACAATCAAGTAAAAAACATTATAAAACAATATTTATAGCATGATTCCAGTTTTCTCTATCAGTAACCTAAGAACTTACCTCACGAGGTAGTTTTTATTTTTTATTTTTATTTTTTTCAAATATATTTTATTGATTTTTTACAGAGAGGAAGGGAGAGAGATAGAGAGTTAGAAACATCGATGAGAGAGAAACATCGATCAGCTGCCTCCTGCACACCTCCTACTGGGGATGTGCCCGCAACCCAGGTACATGCTCTTGACCGGAATCGAACCTGGGACCTTTCAGTCCGCAGGCCGACGCTCTATCCACTGAGCCAAACCGGTTCTGGCACGAGGTAGTTTTTAGAAATGACAATACTTGTCAAGAGCCTAGCAGTGTCTGGTGCATAATAAAAGCTCAATGGCCTTAGCTGGATTTGCTCAGTGGATAGAGCGTTGGCCCTTGGACTAAAGTGTTGAGGGCATGTACCTCGGTTGTAGACTTGTTCTCAGATCCCTAGCCCTGGTCAGGGAGCATACGGGAGGCAACCAACTGATGTGTCTCTCACATCAATGTTTCTCTCTCTCTCTCTCCCCTCCCTACCACTCTAAAAGTCAATAGAAAAATATCCTCAGGTGAGGATTAACAAAATTAAAAAGTTCAATGCACAGTAGCTAGATTTCATTTGGAAGAAAAACCCACACACAGCAAATTTCTGGAAGGATACACACTGATACTAGCAAAAGTTAACTTCTGGTAAGAATTATTTGTTTATCTGTATTTTCTAGTTTTCTTATAATCTCCTATATAATAAAAGGATAATATGCAAATAGACCAAACGGCAGAACAACTGAACAACTGGTCACTATGACGTGCGCTGACCACCAGGGGGCGTGCGCAGAACATGGCGGGCGTTGCCTGCGGTGGGATGGTGGAGATCGCCCCTCGGGGCTTCTCCACCTCCCCCTGCTCCTGAGGGGCGATCGGGGCTGGCAGCCGCCTCTTGCACCCCCTGCCCGTGATGGCTCCACTCGCACCCATTGCCGGCTGGCAGCCACCTCTCGAACCTGCTGCCGGTGCCAGCCCCACTCACACCCGCAACCAGCACTGGAGCCACCGCTCGCACCCACTGCCAGTGCCTGGCTGCCGGCCCTGATCACCCCTGAGGCCTTCTCCACCTCTCCCTGCTCCACTGGTTTTAAACATCCCATTACTGACACTTTAAGTCTTCTTACTAATACATTCCATAAACTCCTTTCTTTCTTGATGGGGTGTTAGACTTGATTGATTTGGTTTGAAAACTAACTGATTTGGAGAAGATGAAATGGTTGCAAAGAATCAACGACCAGAAATTGCTACCCCTTTTCTCAAAGATGCCAAAGAAATGATGTACTGACCTTTAAGAACAAAGCTTTAGGAGGGAAACATCAGTTCCTACTCTGATGTCACCTGTCCAAATATCCATTTAGACCAGTGGTTCTCAACCTTCTGACCCTTTAAATACAGTTCCTCATGTTGTGACCCCAACCATACAATTATTTTCGTTGCTACTTCATAACTGTGATGTTGCTACTGTTATGAATCGTCATGAAATTTCTGATATGCAGGATGATCTTAGGCGACCCCTGTGAAAGGGTCGTTCGACTGCCAAAGGGGTCGCGACCCACAGGTTGAGAACCGCTGATTTAGACTGAACCAGAACAAGAGAACAAGAAGCTATTATGGTCCTCAGAAGACCTCTCAAATATCAGAACTAATTGATAAGACTTGACTTGTTTATTCTCCATCTTCCTGCACCACAAGTCTTTGAGTACGGTATGGCTTATACCAGGAAGCCTTAAATATCCACTAAGGTTTTGAGATAGCCGAGTGGCAGGATTACCCACCTGATTAAAAGTGGGAGGTGGAGGAGGACCAGGAGGGGGTGGAGGGGGAGGAGGAATTGGCATCCTTGCCCAGCTCGCAGTTGGCACTGCTCTCTCTCCGTTTTAATTTGCAGCTTTAGGTCACTCATATACCTGCAAATGAAATAAAAATTCATGAGAACTTTGCCATTAGAGACACCGAGTACCAGGAGAACTAGGGGACTGGGCATGACACCAGAGAAACTAAGCACCTCATTTACTAGTTCCACTGTGATATAGTCCAGAGCTTGGTCAATTTTTCTATAAAAGGCCAGATAATAAATATTTTAGACTTCGTAAGGCACCTATAGTCTCTGATACCTATTATTCTTTTTGTTTTAATATTTTTAATTAATAAATTTTATTTTTTTAGATTCAAAGCAAAACTGAACAGAAAGTACAAACAGCACTCATATACCCCTGCACCTTCCCCCCACCCCAACACACACACAAGCCTCCCCAATTATCTACACCTTGCAGTGGTCCCTTTGTGACAATGGAATCTATATTGACACCTCATTATCACCCAAAGTGCATAGTTTACATTGGAGTTCACTCCTGTTGTACATTCTATGGGTTGTGAAAAATGTACAATGACAACTACCCACCACTGTATTATCATACAGAAGAGTTTCACTGCCCTAAAATAATTTGTGATCTATCTATTCAACTATCCTTCCCCCCAACCTCTGGCAACCACTTATCTATTGTCTTTATAGAATTGCCTTTCCTAAAATGTCATATAGTTGGAATCATAATTCCTTTACTTAGGCATTTAAGTTTCTCCCGTGTATTTTCAGAGCTGGATAGCTGATTTATTTTTAGCGCTGAATAATATTCCATTGTCTGGACATATCATAATTTATTTATCCATTCACCTACTGAAGGATATTTTGGTTGCTTCCAACTTTAGCAATTATGAATAAAGCGACTATAAATATCCTTGTGTGGACATAAGTTTTCAGCTCATTTGAATAAATACAGTAGGTCCTTGGGTTACGTCAGAAATCTATTCCTATGGCGCGACGTAACACAATTTTTGTCGTAAGTCAGAACCCACTTAAATAAGCACCTATGTCACTCACATGAAGCACATACACAGCAGTAATGAAGTGAAACAGTAAAAAAAATTTAAAAGATAACAATCCTGACCTTTACTTGTGGTAAATAAATAATAAAAAACATAAAGCACATATGTACATACGTCGAAATGATGGAACTTTTTTTTATAAATAAATGGGAGATGGCGACATAACCACGAAAAGACGTACATCGAGTCTGACGTAACCCGAGGACTGCCTGTACCCAGGAGCATGATTGCTGGATCACAGGGTAATAAACTGCCAAACTGCCTTCCAAAGTGGCTGTAACATTCTGCATTCCCAAGAGCAATGAAGAGAGTTCCTGCTGCTCCACATTCTTGTCAGTATTTGGTGTTGTCAGTGTTTTAGATTTTGGCCATTCTAATAGGTGTTTAGTGGATCAATGTGCCAGAAACAGAAAAGACAGAAGAATCGGTATCTAGAGAAACATGAGGCTATGCACATAGTTCAATGTTCTAAAATTTGTTAACTTGCTAAATTCATTCATTCATGAATTTACCTACCATCCAATAAATATTTATTGAGCACCCACCAGGTGCCAAAGCATCTATCTATATAATAAAAGCCTAAGTGACCTTTATGGCGTAACGACCAGAATGACCGGTCGCTATGATGTGCACTGGCCACCAGGGGGCAGACGCTCAATGCAGAAGCTGCCCCCTGGTGGACAGTGTGCTCCCACAGGGAGAGTGCTGCTCAGCCAGAAGCGAGGTTCACGGCTGGTGAGTGCAGCGGCAGTGGTGGGAGCCTCTCCTGCCTCCGCGGCAGCACTAAGGAGCATCAAGCCAAGCAGTAAGGAGCAGCAAGCAGTAAGGAACAATGGGTCCCAGACTGCAAGACGGCGCAGGCCGGGCTGAGGGACGATCCGCACCCCCCCTCTGCAGTGCACGAATTTCATGCACCAGGCCTCCAATTGTTCTATAACAGTGGTTCTCAGCTGGGTGATTTTGTCCCCCAGGAGCCATTTAGCAATGTCTACAGACAGTTTTGATTGACACCAATGAGGGATGCTACTGGCATCTAGTGGACAGAAAACAAGGATGCTGCTAAACATTCTATAACACATAGGATAGCCCCCTCCCCCCAACAAAGAATTATCCAGGCGAAAATGTCAATAATGCTGAGGTTGCCCAGCTGGTGTGGCTCAGTGGATGAGTGTCAACCTATGAACCAGCAGGTCACGGTTCAATTCCCAGTCAGGGCACATGCCTGGGTTGTGGGCTTGATCCCCAGTGTGGGGTGTGCAGGAGGCAGCCAATCTATGTTAACAAAAGTTATAGATACTTGTAACATTTTCTATGTTTATTGGTATTCTCTAATTTTTCCCATAGTTTTAGTACAGTAAAAATATTTTAATGAGATATCACTAACATTTAATAAAATGACAAGCCTTTCACAATGTATTAGTAATATCAGATTAGAAATCAGTAGGTATATATATATAAAAAGAGGTTGTGCTCTCATCATTGATGTTTCTATCTCTCCCTTTCCCTTCCTCTCTGAAATCAATAAAAATATTTTTAAAAAATAATACTAGAAGCCCTAACCGGTTTGGCTCAATGGATAGAGTGTCAGCCTGTGGACTCAAGGGTCCCAGGTTCGATTCCAGTCAAGGGCATGTACCTTGGTTGCGGGCACATACCCAGTAGGGAGTGTGCAGGAGGCAGCTGATTGATGTTTCTAACTCTCTATCCCTCTCCCTTCCTCTGTAAAAATTCAATAAAATATATTTTTTAAAAAATAATACTAGTAATAATGCTGAGGGTCATAAACCCTGTTCTAGAAGCTAAACAATTTTCTACAATCTTGGGGCTTACATTCTAGTGCAGCGGTTCTCAACCTGTGGGTTGCGACCCCTTTGGGGGTCGAACAACCCTTTCACAGGGGTTGCCTAAGACCCATCGGAAAACACATATATAATTACATATTGTTTTTGTGATTAATCACTATGCTTTAATTACTCATTATCTCAGTTACTGATAAGTAAAACACACACACCAGGAAATCACAAAGGGAGAATGTAGGGATAGGGTGAAGTATAGCGTTCTTTTAGATAGAATTGCAGGGAGAGGAGGCCAGAGATGAGTGGCTGGCTCATCAAAGAAGTGTCTCCATGAGCAGAGCAAGCCCTATGACCATTTCAGAGAAGAGCATTCCAAAAAGAATTAACAGCAAGTGAAAAGCCACTGAGATGGGGATGAGCTTAATGTGTTAGAGAACTGGTAAGAAGGCCAGGGTAGCTAGAATACAGTGATAAGAGTGGCAGGAAATGAAAGGCCTCAGAGCCTTATAGGTCATCCTCCAAATCCAAAAGGAGTACCCTTCTCCATTTAATATGCCTATAATACCCCAAAGTCTAAACGAACCAACAGCTTCACACCTACAGGAAACCATAAATTCAATCAGTTATTTCATTAATCCCAGACTGCTCTTGATCTCTTGGTTTAAGCACAACTAGGGACCTATGTACCATCTGGAAGCTTTCCAGGGTTAAAAGTTACCTGATGATAATCTGCCTTCCTGTAGACCTGCCCTTCAACTTTGCTCCTGAGAAGCAGTATAGCACGGGAGGCAGGAGCTCATTACCACAGTGGCATAATGGCCTCCAGCTCCTAAGCTAAAGAACCACAACACGGGAGAAGAGCCAGAGCTTCCTGAGAGTATTCACATGCCTCTCCCGGAGACTAACGAACAGCAGGAGCCAAACAGGTCCCTACAATTACATGGGAATGATGTCAACACAGAATTATGAACACACCTCCATGTGTTCTAGGGCTGAATGCAGTAGAGGCTCTCCACTAAAGCATTTTTGTTTTAAAATACAAGGAAACAGACTAGAATAACTTCCACGTTATACAAAGTTTACTACCCTCCCCACCGCCAAAGGCTTTGTATAATGTGAGAATAATCCTCAGCACTCTTCTCCCCCTTGAAATTCAATTCAGTCAAACCTCTGATGAAACAGATTTCTATCATGATGGAATTAATTAAAATTTTAAGATTACTCCATGAAGGGGGAAAAAAATCCTATTTCCAACTGCAGGCATTTTTCAATCATGGACAATTCAACTATGCAGCAAATCTGACTGATCCAACAAGTAATAAAAATCACATACCCACTGTGAATATTGAAACTGAAAATCCTAGGAATTCTACAACTAAACCTGGATGTTTTACTCTTTAGATCAATGATTTTTCAGTTACAAGCAGCACATAACCCTGGAAGACAAAAGGAAGGAGGCCAAACAACAATATATAACTACATAATGAAATCCTTTCACATATAATTTCTCTAATAAAAACGTAAGTATACATCCCAATAATGCAGCTTTTCTCCATGACTCTTTCCTCTTGTCCCAGATTACTTTTTAAAAGCCCTAAAAATGTAAAGTCAGGAGTCTATTTATTCACACACTTGATGTGGTAAATATCAGGTACCACAGGTTATCCCCAAATACAGGGTAACCCAGGAGCCAAGTCCTCCCATCTAAAGTGATGGCAGCCCTAGCCAGTTTGGCTCAATGGATAGAGCGTTGGCCTGCAGACTGAAGGGTGGATTCTGGTCAAGGGCACGTACCTTAGTCGTAGGCTTAATCCCCAGCCTCGGTTGGCCTGTGTGGGAGGCAACCAATCGATGTTTCTCTCTCACATCAATGTTTCTCTCTCTCTGTCTCTCCCCCTTCCTTCCACTCTCTCTAAAAATCAATGAAAAAATATTCTCGGGTGAAGATTAACAACAACAACAAAATCTTTAAGTGTTAAAAAAAAAATTCCTGGATTTGGACAACGAAATGATGCAGAAAGTAGCTCAATGTTCATAATTATTATTTCCTCCCCACTCACACATCCCAGGAACCAGTAGATTTAGAAATGCTGGCTAAAAAATGGAGTCACACAAGGCCAAAGTTACTACCATCAGCCAGCATTTAACTAGAGAAGAGAGGAATTAATCAGATGAAGAACACAAATTCTAATTTAGAAATCCAGACCAAAGCTAGGCAGACTAAAACA